AACAGGCATTTGGGGACAGAAAGGCAAAGGCATGTCCTCCCCTCCATGCTCTGGAAAAACATTGCTGCATCTGCAATTTCTTGGAAACCACCTGCACACGTGGGCTCCGAAGGGCACGCGAGCACAGCTCAAATGGCACTCGCCTGCAATCTCTGGGGTTGAACAGTGGTGAAGCGCTGTTCTGTTTCATATTCCTTACAGAAAAAAAGGGGTGTTGCTTAGTCTTATTTTACCCTAAATACCTGTTAGCAGTAGCTCTACCAACATTTTCCACAAGGGAAGAACACACTGAAAAGAACGCTGTAGCCACCTCATGCTATAATGTTTTATTTATTGGCTTGTTTAACCTGTTCCCTTGAGCTCTTGTAACTCTACCAGAATCTTAGTCATGAAAGGAAAAAAGGCAATAGGATTTAAAAAACCACAATTCTAGCTTTTGTATCAAGTGTCTTACAAACCGTACCACTGAATGCTCTCTAACAGTGGGCAATATGCTTTATAAAACGAAACAACACAATAACCAAGGGAAAGGAAGGGTTTGCAGATGACATTTGAAAATGCTGGTGGCAGGGGGGTGGTTCAGTGAGGAAACAACAGAAGAAGAAACAGGAGATCAGTGGCAGAGTAGTTTAAAAGTTTGTTTATATAAGAAAATGTAATAGCCCTCTGGAGACACCTTACTGGGGGATAAAAGTGAATTTATTCCAGAATTATGAATTCACTTTAGAAGTGCATTAGCTATTTAGGTACAAAAATGATTCAGCTTCTGCTGGAACATCTCTCCCAGAGAGCCTGTCCTGACAAAGGACCTCTACTGCCAATGGCCCATCTCTGCAGACATATGCCCCAGCAGAAACCATAAGGAATAAAACCACAAATGAAGGTTTCGTGAGGTCACCTGCAACAAGTATTTTCACTTTTAAACAAAGGGGCAGCTTTTCCCATTCTTGTTTGAAAGCACGGCAATCCATTATACTAATGTTCAGGGGGGAGGAAGTGGGGAGAAAGGCAAAGCTATTTGTATTGGACCTGTGGAGCTGCACTGTTCTTCAATGATTGAACCGAGACAAGCAGGACTTGCAGTCTGCAAAATAGACACTGAAGTATGGGGAATTCCCACAAAATCTTTTTAAGCATCTTTAGCTTCATTAAATAACTTCTATTATACTCAAACTAGGACCACTTTTTACCATTATTATTTTACTGCAATTAGGCAGTCTGCAGAAATTACAAGAAAAAATCAAGGCTAAAATTAATGTAATGTAATGATTAAGCACTTCACCCAGCCTATGGGTCAGACATTATATATTCTACTGCATTGTCAGATTTTTGGATTCTTGACTGTCTCCTCCTACTTCAAAAAGAAAAATTCAAAATGGCAGAGGGGGAAAAAAAAACCAACAGTATTTTAAGACAGACGCACTGAGCTTGCGATGCAAGTGCAGCACCATTATACACATGCCCCATGATCCAGAGGACATGTCCAGGTTTAGCCTGAGCAGACCCCAAATACCACAGTTGTTTTGGGAACAGAGTTCCCAGAATTACCAAAGCTTCCCGGTGCATTCCACTTTCAAATTTGGCAAAGGCAATCTTGGCCCCGCACTTCTCAGGTACCAAAATGAAACAGGCTGTTCTCTGAAAGCCAGCCTAGTTTTGACACCCGCTGAAGTGCATCTTATTTCAGACAGTTCACCTGCGCTTTGGCAGAGCCAACAGCACACCGGCAAAGTCAAGAATTCAGGGCCAGGACAACATCCTGGCCCCAGTCCTCAGGATTTTAGGTTGCCAAAGTAATCCTTATCCCACAAAATCCACTACAAACAGCTCACATCAGCCTGCTCCAGGAGCAGCTTTCTTAAGTGTTATAACACCCTCAAAGACCTTTAAATGGTCCCTTGCTGTGCTGTCACAGCAGGCTCAGCTGTCCCCGGGCACACAGTGTATTCCCCAGCTCGCAGGTGGAGGTCAGCAGTACCGGGGCAGGCAGGCAACGCGTCCTGCCCTTCAAAGGAGACGGTTTGCTCTTCTAAAGCTTCCTCTGCTCTGAGCCCAAGCCAGCTGGACAGCAGTTGAAAGACTCGCTCCTTCAGCAGCGCCCGGTATCTGGAGACTCCAGCCCAAAACAAATAGAAACATTTAAAATTAAAATAGAAAAAGAAAAGGCGATAAAAGGAATAAATTGTTCCTTACTGGCCCAAAGAAGAGAACTCTATTCCTCCTTATCACCCTGTATCTTCCTTGAACTGCCTTCCCAGGCAACTACTGCAAAGGATTTTTGTGGATCGGGTCAGCCCACGGGTCCGTGCCCAGCCCAGGAGTGCCGGCTCGCAGGACTCCACGCCTGCCAGCTGAGGAGCAACATTAGGAAAGACCATATAATAACTACAAAACAGAGTGGCCACAGGAGGAATTTCTTCTTCATTTCAGACGCCTCTGTGCTGAGCTATCTTGTAACTCTGATCAGGAATGTGTGACAATGGTGTCCTTTCCCCCTTTATAAGAAGTCACTGTGGCCTTCAACAGGTGCTTTGGAGAACAATCAGAACTTATCAAAACCTCTCAATCTGCACAAATTTGAGAGTAACACAAAGTTACAACACCATCTAAGCCCACCTAACAAATAGTGTGAAAAGGAAGTTTTAAAGCCAGCCTTAGTTTTAAGGCCAATGCTGCCACCCACGATCAGCAGAATTCATGAGATTTCAGGTACTCTCAGCTCATCCCTCTTGCCACCGCAATTCCCTGAAGGACGGTGAGAAATTAGTTAATCCCCCTTTTGCTCTTTCCTCATGTTTACTTGCACAGCAAATACCTAGCCACCCAGCATTCCCTTCTCCAGGAATTGAATGTCACACTGTATGCACAATAATAATATGGTTTTGACCACGCAGTGACCCATTTCAGAGGGCCTAATGAAAAATGTAACCACAGCTGAATGAACTGTACTGCTGGGTTGCTTTGATTCTTTTCCCTTACCCCTTTACAAGAACCACCTAATTTCCTGTTTGATATATTTGATGCCACAATTAAGAAGAGATGAAGTTGAGGTGACACCTCCTATCGCCCCCCCAACCCCTTTTCTCTCTCACCCCTTCCCCAGAAGAACCCTTGGTGTGCTATTGCTGTACCACAGGAGTCACCTGCCTGTGCCAGAGTAACTTTTAAGCTCCAAATCCAAAGTAGCAAAGGAGGAAAAAAAAATACAGCCTTATCTCAAATATCAAGAGTCAATTCCTTTCAACCACAGCATCCACAAAATCATTGTCTTCAGAGCTGCAGAGACCTAAAGCTTGGCCACGAGCTTCTAACCCCCCTCAGGAAGAGGCATGTGGACATGGTCTGCTGGACACTGGTGTGGTTCAGTGCAGCAGTGGAAAAAGGCTCCCCTCTCTATCCCCTGCCCTTCGCCTCCCCCTTAAAAGAGTTGAAAGATGACAAAACAGCCGTGCATTCAACAGGCACAACTGGATTTCTTTTGGCAAAAAACGGGGAGTTGTGCAGGACTGTCACCCCTGCAGCACCAGCAGAGAAGACATCACACCTCTGCCTTCAGCCTGCCTGTTACAGGAAAAGCAACTGGGAACAGAGGACCAGCACAGAACGCGACTGCCCATATGATATGGAGAACACATTCGAGCTAGCTTTTTTTAAAATCAAAACTATAATGACATTGTAGCATCACTACAGCCACAGCACCAGTACGCTGAGCACTCCAGAGTGCCTTGCAGGCACTAACGAAGAAAGCCTGTCATGCTAATTTCTCCGCCCACAACTTCAGGAGCAAGCCAGACTGAAGGTTTAGTCTCAGGAATCACTGCAGGTCCAGCTTTCTGCTGCAAAACCTTTGCAGCTTGAGGGGGAAGTTGTTAGGGGTTCCCTCCCTGCCCCAAACAGAAAGAAACCAAGGAATACGTCCAGATTTTGCTGCCACAATGACACAAGCTTCTGTATCTCTGGAAATGAGAGCAGGACGATGCTTGAATTCTTGCCCTGTAACATAAAACATCTAGAAAAATAGACAAGTGATTGTGGAATAACTTGGAAATGGGCAACAGAAAACTATCCACCAAGTTATTTTTCAAATTTTGTGGCTTTCTTTCACAATCTTAAGTTCACGCTGAGTTAAGAGCTCAGAGAATAGAGCTTTTCAGAAAACTGAAGCTGTTATCCTTCACCCACTTACATACCATCTGGAGTAGGATAGGAATGAATGGGACAGGACAAGACGCAGGGCTGCCCAAGCACACGCAAATCCTTAAAATTAAATTCACGGAGCCCATCTATAGGGAAGGTTTCCTGTCATGTATTGTAGAACCAGAAGATTTGGGAAGAACATCCCAGTGACACAGCTGTATGACATCCACAGCTTGGGCACCTCTCCATGGCACCTCCTCAAAGTTACCACATCACCTTTGCTACAGGCAGAGAGGTACTTGAAGAGGTAAACTAATGAAATTTGGGGTTCTAAGGGCCCATCCTCTTTTAACCAATGTATTTGGGGCCTTAACAAGTGTGAGGACCACCTAAAGCCTTTCCTTTTGCACTACAGCCTTTTCCTGCAGCAAGGCAACATGCAGACAGTCATTATTTCTCCTTTACTTTTTCTCCACGGGTTTCATGTGCATATCTTGAGTGTTCCACCTCTTTTCTGGATAGAACCAAAAACTGAGAAACCACCTCCAAGGTAATTCTTAGCGGAATTCCCTTGCAACAGCCATGAGGGAAAGTACTCCACAGCAGGGACAACATGTAGCCTGGCACATTATGCAGCAAATTTGCCTCTTAGAGGGGACAACAGAAATCGGGGCAGATGTCCTGGGTAAGAGAGCGAGCAGGGGCATGCCCACAACTCATTTCTGACAAATACTTTCCTTATCTCACATTCCTACATCACTTTGTACCAGATTACCAACCTCAAATGGTAATAAAAAGTCACTGTGTACAGTGAACAGCAAGAGATTACTGAAAAAACCAAAACAGAGAGATCATCAACCTACCAGATCTGTCCAACATTGACCAACGAGAGGTAGAGAACCCACAGGACAAACATGAGGACCATGTTTGCACATCCAGTTATCAATACAAAGGCTGAAGTTGCCAGGCCACACAGAGAGAGGTAGTCCAAGATGCTGTCCATGTCCGACCAGTCCAGAAACCAGATGATTGTTGGCGCATAGCTCAGAGCATCCAGGTTTATCTTCCCTTTGAAATACTTTTTGACATTCTGCAGGTACAGTTTACAAGGGAGCAGCCCCTTCTCTCCTATTAGCTGCTTGTTTTGATGATACGCCACCAGGAAGGCCACAACTAGAGGAAAACAAGGAGAGGGAAGAAAAAAAGCAGTGTTAGAAATCAACCAGGCTCAAGTACATATTTGAGTCCAGAGTCACAGAAGTATATTCATGCCTCGGAAAGGAATTTATTCACATCCTCATCTCCATTAAAACACAACACAGTCATTTCTATTAACCACGATGCAGAAGGCAGAGGAATTCTATAAATACTGTCTCCGCCTTCACACCAGGAAATGGCACAGAGTCTGTCGTGAGATAATTTTCTCCTCAACAGCTGTAAGGGACATGCCACTCGCTTCAGGCAAACTCAACAATGCACTTCTGGGAAAAGCTCCCTGTAACTGAGCGACCTGACCCAGCGTAGAAACGGGAGGCTCAGCCCAGCTCTGTTAGACTCTGCGTGACCCTATGTTAGTCACATACGCTATTCATCTCCTAACGCAGATGAGGAAAACAGCTTAATTGCACTGCAGAGTACGAGTGAAAGTAACGCATTAATTTCAAGATCTTCAGACACAATTTCCTTTCCACAAGCATTTGGGAAGGAGACACCGAGGAGCCCCCAGTTCCCCCCGGTTCACACGCAGATACTGGGGAGCACAGCTGAAACAGCCAGAAGAGCACACACATCTCCCTTCAGCTTTGCAGCAGCAAAGACAGGGCTGTGCTTTCTGACCCCTCCTACTTCGGTTTCACCAAACATTTTGCAGTCTAAATAGACAACAGCTCCAGCATGGGGTTTGTTGTTGATGGTGATTTACAATGTCTGCTGTTCCCAGTACAGATAACCCACCGCAGACTGATAGCAGATCGTACCCGCAGGGTTATGCTTTGCCTTTAGAGGATATCTCTCCATTTTTACGTAACGCTATCTGTGCATCTATCAAGTACTGGATTATTTCCTTATATTGAAAACACTTAATATTTCAAATATTGTTAATGAGACAGCTTAAACTCATACACACCATTCAAGAGGCGTCCAAAGGACACCTTAATTCTTCTGGCAGCACAATGGTTAATGGTTATACATTGCAATTGCAGAATACAGTAGTCATGCTATGGGTTGACCTTCTGGATCCTCTCACATCCTGGTAGGCTGGAAATACAAAGTCTTAATATTTTCCTGTCCTCTAAATTGCTACTTTTTACATGTCACTACAGCTCTCTCATTTGTAGTGTCTATGCTCTTGCACTGGACAATCTTAGAACAGCCAGATGCTTTTTTTAACAGCACATAAGCAATTTAATTACAGATTATAGACCTAGAATTTGATGTTCTACAGAGAAAGTTGGTCAGTTTCTCGGGATTATCTCATATTTTAGGAATCTCCTCCAGTTACCAATTTGCAGTTCGTAACTGCAGTAATCTCCATTTCTCAGAAAAAAATGATGAAGGCCAACATTTCCTGATTAGGCTCCATACATTTTGCTCCCAGCAGCTAACGTACCCATCTTTCAAACATTATCCAAACACCAGCCACGTCACATGCAGCAACACCAGAGGTCTTGCAAAAGGCCGGTTTGTTTCCCCCCAGTACTCCTTAGTTAATGATCAAATCTGTTTCCTTCCTTATCTGAATGCTGCCATTCTGCAAACAAGAATTCTGGTGTTCATCTGGTTGATGTCTCTCACTGGGGCAACGCTGGTAGAAAGCCTATGTGAAACCATATCCCGAGTTCAGGCCCAGATTCCCATTTCTTTGAAGTCTGACTAGCAACCAAAAATCTGCAGCCCCAGGGAATAGAAATTCCCCCCAGACACACACAAAGGTCTCCAGTTAATCCACTTAACACTTAGGCCATCTCTTTGCGCACGGCGTGTATTTTGTTCTCATTTGAAAAACCACTACATCTCACAATCCAACACATATCTGAGGTCACTCAGAACGTTCCCCTTGATTTCAACAGATCCTGAATCACAGCACTAACACAATAAAGTCGAGGGTTTAATTGGTTGTATCTCTTTCTGTCCATCTTTTATACACAGTGAAGGATTTTTCCAACTAATAAAAAACATATTTTACTCAATTATGGACAGGGAGGGACAAGAGGAAAGAGCTGATCGCAACACTAAAGAATCAGCTTTGGCCCACAAATTAAGTGTTTTATATTTTAGAATATTCGTATTTTTCTACCAACACTCTGTACACCACAACTGTGTAATCAGAAAGCCTGACACATGAAACAGACAGCAATATAATGCTTCTGAGCCTCAGACAACTTAATATCTTCATTTTTGGTTTAAAAAAAAAATAAAGACCACCTCTGCCTTAAAACTCCATGGCTTGATTTCCCTTGATTAGCACTGCAATTTGCTGCACAGATTTCCAAAGGCGCTAATCAAATTCACCTCTAAATGCTAAAGAAATTGCTGCCCCAACCCATAACTGCTAAGCATTTTTTTTTTCTAAAAAAAATCTAAATTAGACCCCTGCACAGTATGCAAGATAAACAAGGAAAGGGTAAATTAGGAAAAACAAACTATAGCAATTGCAGAAAAGTACACATTGTATGTACAAAATACTGTACAGCCTTTTTAAGTCAGAAAGCAGCAAAGACTGCATTATAGGTTGGCGTGAACTGCACATCTAAAGATTGCCCAGTTTGGGCTCCAAAGCGGTTTTCTCCCAGAACATCGATTTCTCACAAGCCGCTGCGCTGCTGATATTTCACATGTTACCATTTCACAACTAAATCCCATCGGCAACAGCCCTCATTTATGAAGAACTCATCTAACCCAAAACAAATCCGGACCGCTCCACTTAGGTTTCGATCCATCACCCTCCCAAGCCATCGGGGCCCACGTCCGGTGGACGCCGTTTATCGCTCACACGTGTGCAGCATTTCCTAGAAGTGCTGCTCCATCCCGGATCCAGCTCCCTCTCCTGGACACTCCCCAAGATGAGCCGCTCTCTCGCACTACGCAGTGCTCCCACTCCACTCATCTCCAGCATCTTTTGGAGCACCTTTGAAGGGCAACATCCCTTAGCCAGCACCCGCTTCTCAAACCCTGCCATCAAATCATCTAGACCTACTCTCCCAAGGCACCAGCTAAGTCTTCCAGAGGCTTCACCCTGTTGGCAGCGGTTCCCACGTTACCATACATGTGCAGTAGCTGAAACTAAAGACAGATTCCGCAAAGGATTTCAGCAACACAGGACACGCACAGGTCCAGGGGAAAAAAAGGGAAGTTATTTATCAGCATGTCATTGCTTCCTCTCCCTGAACCCCTCTCGAGAAACTGTATCCTTAAATTGACTGTAACACAGACCCTACTCCCTTCTCCAGGAACCTTCGCTTTGATCTTGGCTTAGTCAGGGGCGGAAAAAGTCCCTTTTGCCCCCAAAGCCCGTGCTTTTCTTCCTCTTCCTTAACCCCTATTCTGAAACCTCTCTCCCTTTGGCCTCGTATTTGGGGATTTTCCACTCTCCATCTTCCCACTCCCTCCAGATAAACATGGTCAAACAAGTTTGCTTCCACCTTGGGCACTGGCTGGCATGCTCGCTGCACTGCCAGGGCATGGGGCAAGGTTAATTGCCTCTCTGGTTTCTCCTGTAGCTTCTTCCTGGCAAGAGTGGCAGTGCAGTTCTGTTACATGAACCAGAAATCGCCGGTTAGTAAGCCAGACGATGCTGGGGGGACCCACCTACACAGCACGCTGGGTTCAACCATGCCACAGGGTCTATGGCACCAAGTCTGCTCGAGCAATGGCACTGCATCCACCTCAGCCTCTCCAACGCTCTGTAAAGCTGTGCTCCTGGGTCTCTGCAAGGTTCACGCCAGCCCAGAGATGTTCTCACCTCTGGCAACAAAGAAATGAGGGTCTTACCCAAAGGGATGCTGGAATGGCAAAAGAGAGCCTGAGTGGGCAGCTGGCAGCTGCTGAGCATCGCTGTTAGCCGGGCAAGCGGGCAGAGTCTCAGTCACTCACAGAGCTGCAAGACTCTGCATCTCCCTCAGGAGAAGCCTGAGCAAACCTGACTCCAAGATTTGCAAACTTAGGGCAATGCATTCATCAGTGTCTCCTGTCAGTTCTGGGTTTACATTTTTTCCTGCAAGAACAGCACAAACACTTGCATTCCTACGCACCGGGCAGCTTGCCTCCACCAGCACCCGAGCCACCTCCAGCTCAGGCATATACTGCACCGAGGATGGAGCAAGTTAACGCAGGGCCTGATCCAGAGTCACCCGCTCCTTCCAGCCTCTTTAGCAGGCCAAACCCCTCGGAACGACTCTCACTTTCTGATATCATCTTACAAAATGAGAGCCTAACTGAGAAGGGCGCTTTTTCAGAGTTCAGGATGCACTTTGCCAATGCAGAAGCTGATGTTCTCCCATAGCTATCCTTTCCAGCATCACGGATGGGAACGATGTGGGGCCACGGCTGGGCTCCTAATTCATGGACATCCCCTGCGGGCTTCCAGCACAGCTCTGCACACCTCCAAGCCTCCAAACCCAGCACAGAACCCCATCACCCCTGTGCCTACTCACTGCCTGGACTTTTTACCAATAGTCCCTGGATTTACGTATCTTCAGCCCGTGCGAGTTTCCCCTCTTTCCATCTGAAGCATTTTGCCATTCTTCAGACTATTCGCTCCTTCGCAGATTGAAAAAACTCAGCGACTCCCATGCTCCCTCCCACTCAGGAGGCAGACGGAGCCTTTGACAGCTCACATGGGAACACGCTCCTCTACCTGCTGCGAGCTGATCTTTACATAAGTAATACATGTAAATTGTCATCAACTGCTAATAGACCTTCACTACTTATTCTCACCTCAGAAGGTGCTTTACTGTACTTTTCCATTAGCTCCCCCCCTCCACCTTCTCCTTCCCCTCCCTGCCTCCTCTGTCTCCCCAAACTGAACACGTTCCTTGTTCAAACCCACATGCTACCAATAAACACAACCCAAGCATGCAACACAAGAGTCACCCATCTGAAATGATTTGGTCTATCCACGTTGCCCTGTCACCTCAGTTCCTTTCCCCTAGTCCAGGCTCAGCCTGTCATGGTAGGAGAATGAGAGAATCCCATTCTTCATGCTCTGTAAAGATTTAAAGATGTGAAATCCAAAACTTTCCGGTCATATGGCTTTCTCTCTCCCCCCATTAAAAAAGTCTTAACTTTTACTTAAAGCCCAAACCACAAGAAGAAATGAACCAAGAGCACAGAGCTTTGCATGAAAACCAAACTACATCTTGCACACACAAAAAAAATCTGCCTGGAGCCATATATCAAGTGCACCTTTGACCCAACAAGGCATTCAAAAAAGGCCCTTTGCTGGATGCTGGCAAGCTGAGCTTGTACTACTGAAAAGAAGAAGGGGGAGAATATCCATGGTCTTTTCATTATTATCAGAGAAATGAATCAAATAAGTTTTCAATTGATAAATTCCCCTGTGAAGTTTTGCAACACAGAAGCAACAACACCGTAGTACTGAGCAAAGAGCCCGAGTGAAAGCCAGCACCCCCTTTTCATCATGCAACCCACGGCCACAAAAAAACACACAACAAAGTAGTCTGTTCTTAACACTTTTTTTGTTTTATTGCCATTCGCAGCAATGCTAAAGACTTTGGGGCGGTTGCTTTGGAGGCTTTTTAAGTGCTTATATCCCCATTGCCTCTTTGTTCGAAATGATGTGAAAGCAAATCGAAAAGGCTGGGCTGTGGCCCTGCTAAAAAGCTTCCCCGTAGGACCCAGACTGTTCAAAACCACACCAATGGCAGCCCAGCCTGCAGCTGGAGGATGCCCTGGGAAGATCCCTCTGCTCCAGACCGGCTCTGGGCAAACAGCAGACTGGGAGACAGACTCTTCCTTTCTCGGTTCTTGTTATCATTTCCCTTAAACTATCACTGCTT